AGCTCTCTGCTTATCTCTGGCCTCGCTCTCTGTATCTCTTCCTCACTCTTCTGTGTCTCTTCGCTCATCTCTGTATCTCTTTACTCCTCGTGTGTCTCTTCCTCACTCTGCCTATCTCCTTCCTCGCCTCTCTGTAATCTCTTCCTCTGCTCTCTGTTCTCTTCGCATCACTCTCTGTGTCTCTTTCCTCACTCTCTGTATCTCTTCGTCACTCTCTGTATCTTCTTCTTCGGCTCTCTGTGTCTCTTCCCTCACTCTCTGTGTCTCTTCTCGCTCTCTGTATCTCGTCCTCACTTTCGTTATCTCTTCCTCACTCATCTGTATCTCTGTCCTCTCTGTTGGTCTCTTCCTCCCTCTGTATCTCTTCCTCGCTCTCTGTACTCTATCCTCACTCTCTGTATCTCTTCGTCCGCTACTCTGTATTCTCTTCGTTTCGCTCTCTGTGTCTTCTTTCTCCACTCTCTGTATCTCTTTCCTCACCTCTGATATCTCTTTCCTCGCTCTCTGTATCTCTTCCATCACTTCTGTATCTCTTCCTCTCTGTGGATCTCTTCCTCACTTCTGGTCTCTTCCTCACTCTCTGTATCTCTTCTCACTCGTCTGCTGGCTCTTTCTCACTCGTCTGTATCTCATTCATCGTCACTCTCTGTATCTCTTCCTCACTCTCTGTATCTCTTCCTCACTCTCTGTGTCTCATCCTCCTCATCCTCATCCTCATCCTCATCCTCATCATCTGTGTACTGTCCTGCAGGCAGACCTGTCAAAGCACCAGCGCAGCTGACTGCTTCCTCGAAGGCAGATGCAAAAGACGCAGAGACAACAACAGAGGCGCCTGCCGTATCCAAGCGGCAAGTGAAGAAGCAAGAGAAGGAGAAGGAGAAGGAGAAGGAACAGGAGAAGGAACAGGAGAAGACTCCGCCGCCGCAGCCGGTGGAGGAGGTGCCAGAGACTTTGCCTCCCGAAGGTAACGTCAGCTTGGTTTGCTTCGTGCAATAAGCGTCGGTTTTCATAGCGTACTAGTACCATGTGCAGGTCTCGAATAGGTGAGTGTTAATGATGCCTTCCCACGCACATTTTTGTAACAAACCACTGTAAAAACGCAAGTAAATAACTCACTACACTTTAACTGAACGTTAGCTTTGAAAATAAAACTGTAAAAATATGTATCAAGCCTATATTTGCTCAATGAAAACACAACTCGAAAAAATGCTTTTCGCCGCGGTTCTGTATAATGGCGGTTCTTTGTATAGGCTCATTGATTGATGATGACGTAATACGTCACAACAATGACGTAATACGTCACAACATTGTACAACAAGCACAGCTGTTTGAAACATTCGACCCGACACTTTCACTTTGTAGTCTAAAACTAAAAGCTTTGAATGAACGTATTCCCAAGCAATCCTTTACCTATCACACATATATAAGCAAGTACAAACGTGCAATGTTAAAATAATTCATTTTTGCCTGATTTTATGCTTGCCACTTGAAATTTCGTTGATAGGCATCTTTAACATCTTAATCAGATGTTAATCGCATATATAACTGCAACAGTATAGCGTTCTGGTATAGTGTATAGTGATAGCGTATATCGTGTCAGTATATCATATAAGTGGTACTTTTTTAATATTTTAATCTTATCTAAATTGAGCGTACTTGCAGCAGTACCGTGTTATTCAAGACCGGTCTTGAATTAGTGATCGAGGTGAGATAGCAACACCCACCTTGAACACTCTCGCTAAGTCAACCAAGTTAAACCAGTTTGTACGCGGAGCGTACCATAATTTTGACTTAGTGCCACGTCCTTGCTAAGCTTTGCAGTGTTTGTAGAACGTCCCATTGTAGCGCCAATAGACTAACAATCGATACTAGAGCTGCTAGTTAACTGCGCATGACAGATAGGCTGAGCTGTATCTCAGATGATCAGATGAGCTGTATCTGATTAGTCAGTTGGTGCTGAAGCTAAGAGATAACTTTTCTGTCATCGTTCACCGTGTTAAATGGATACTACACCCTAGAATTTTAGTAGTATAGAGATATATTTATGATAGCAGATATATTATGATAGGGTATATTATGATAGTGAGTGCATAAATAATAGTACATACCTATGAAGTTCTATAATCATGCATTCACATTTGTCATAAAACAACAGTGAGTTTCGAAATCTTTCATTTTAGCCGCTGACATGACACCTTGCGAACGATTTATAACTGAACAATTTTTTATTTTGAACCTATTTTAACTAATAATATGCAAGGAACCTAGGGCCATGTATGCCTTTAATGTTCACAGATCAGCCTGCTGTAGCTGAGGCAGCGGCCGTCGCCACCGAACTGAAGTCGGAAGCCACAAGTGAGACTGCGTCGGCCAGCGTTGTCATGACGACGGCTCCGGCGTTCAACGGCACCGACACGCTGCCGAACAGTATTGCGCCGCTGCAAGGCGCCGCCAGCGTGGAGCTGGCGCCACCTAGTGAGGTCCGCGAGAACCAGCCGGCGACCGCCGTTGTCAAGCCACACATCCTCACACACGTCATCGAGGGATACGTGATACAAGAGGGTCCGGAACCCTTCCCGGTAAGCATCGCTTGTTCCTGTAAGAGTCATGGCAGTAACCAAGAGGATGCAGAATTTCTCCAGATAAGGGTCACTTGATCCTGTAAGAGTCATGGTAGTTACCACGATAATTTTAAACAAGCTCGCCCGTAGACAAAGTGATCAGGCCCTTACAAGTTTGAACAGACCCTTAATTTTGTTAAATTTATTCCATTATTAATAAAACTATTAGCTTTGTGTTTATTAGGCATACTCTAGTATTTCAGTATTTCATTGCATATCAGTGGAGTTCTACTTGTTTGACAGGAATTGCTGGAACATGATTTTCTTCTTAGTAGTCACTAAGTAAAAACTCGTCAGGAAATTGGTAAATATCGTTGATATAAAGGCAAGATAGGCCAAATTTTGAATAGGCCAAGTGGACTGATTATATGGGTAGTTGAACCGGTGTAGACTGAACGGTCTCGTGTGTGGTCTGTGCTGCAGGTGAATCGGTCGTCGCTGTTGATAGAGTACGATCAGCCACCCAAGCCACAGACACCCTCCCTCAAGCCAACAGAGATTGAGGCAGGCCCTCCCCCAGCTAAAAAACAAAAAGGTAATGTTTGTCGGTCGGTGCTTTAATGATATTGTCACTGCGTTTAGCGTAGATCATCAAATGTTAGAAATTGCTCGCTGATATTCAGTGTATTTTTGTTTCTAATTGCGTAATAATGTAATAATTAGGTTTTTCAGTTGTTTTGGGGAATTGCTTTCATAGCGATATTATAGAAGATATGTATTAGTGATGGTAGTTGAATATTTGTTACCATGAAACATGGCCACACGAAAACATCATGGCAACGAAGATAATTCCTGATTCTTTGCACTGTCACTCTCGTTATCATGCCATATCGTTGCTATGTATTGTCATTGTCATGTATTGCCATTGTCATGTCACTGTCATTGTCATGTATTGACATTATCATGTATTGCCTTTGTCATGTCACTGTCATTGTCATGCCATATCGTTGTCATGTATTGTCATTGTCATATATTGTCGTTGTCATGTATTGTCGTTGTCATGTCACTGTCACTGTCATTGTCATGTATTGTCATGTCACTGTCACTGTCGTTGTCATATATTGTCATTGTCATGTATTTTCATGTCACTGTCACTGTCATTGTCATGCCATATCTTTGTCACTCCCTTGCAGTCGATGCACGGTCGAAGATGACAGACGGTGAGCTACTCAGCTGTGAGTTCTGTCACAACACCGACTTCAAGCACAAGTTCAAGCGATCGAAACGCTTCTGCTCCAACACGTGCGCAAAGCGCTACAACGTCGGCTGCTCGCGCCGCATAGGGCGCTTCAAACCAAAGTGTAAGTGCTGGCAATGCTTGTAGCGGTTGACATATAGTAGGTCTCAGGGGAGAGAGAGTGAAATAAGTTGTGGATATAGAAATCAGTTAACCCTAACCCTAACCCTAACCCCAACCCTAACCCTATTCCTAATTCTAAAATAAAACAAAATTAGCCAAAAATAATAAAAAATAAAATAAATAAGAGACAAAATTAGCCAATCAGAGCCCTCCCCTAGCGGATCACTATCTCTCCCCTGTGCAAAATTCGTAGATATACAGGGGCAGCGAATTTTTAAATTGCATTTTCACTGTTTTGTTTGCTATTTTTGTCATCAAAAATTGAGCACAAAATTGTTGTGGAAGGTTTCACCAGTGATAATAAACTGTTGACTGAATGTCAATGATGATCATTTGGTGACTAACGTAATCAGGGTATACATGGATAGTGAAATAACAGTCTACAATTAGCAGGATCTCCAACAATTAGTTACAAGCTGTAATTGTAAAAGCATGCAACAATATTCGGAGCGATAAGAATATATACTATACTATATACTATTATATAATATACTATACTATAATAGAATAGAATATATAACAATATCAGAAGTAGATAATAGGGAATTCCCTATTATCTACTTCTGATAATATAGTATACTATAATCTACTATATATAGTAGTACTATATATCCGTGTCTAACACACCCTGAGTAGTAAGTAGAGTAGTGGTAGCATTTATCCATAATTTTTCAGCTGAAGGACTGGAATTGCCTGTGTACAATAAGAAGAGGAAGGATAGAACAGCCGGCTGGACGGAAGGCAGTGATAGTCAGCTGGGAAGTCGTGCAACGGACATGGATGATAAGGTGTGCATCCCTGCTTTCAATTAGACAACGAGTCCATGCGGATGTTCATGCGTATTTGTGTGTGTGTGGGTTTGTATGCGCGTGGATGCATGCATACATGTTTGTGTGTGTACTTGTATGTGTGTGTGTGTGTGGGTGTGTGTGTGTGTGTGTGTGTGTGTGTGTGCGTGTGCATGTGCGTGTGCGTGTGCGTGCGCGTGCGTGTGTGTACGTGCGTATGCGTGCGTGTACGTGCGTGCATGCGTATGCGAGCGTGTGCTTGTGTGTACGTGCGCGTGTGCGTGCGTGTGTGTGTGTACGTGTGCGTGTGTGTACGTGCGCGCGTGCGTGCGTGTGCGTGCGTGCGTGCGTGCGTGCGTGTGCGTGCGTGCGTGTACGAGCATGCGCCCGGCGACTGGGATCCTGCATGTAGGGAAATATAACATTACACTTAAAAACTCACGTTCGTATTCAATGCTATATTCTACAATACGCAATTTGATGGAGCCCACCAGCAAACTCTCTCCTACTAACAACAACCGCCATTCTGAATATATTCTTATTTTTTATAAACGAGTAAAAAAACCTGAGTGCACGCCGATGCGCAGCTTTATGCTGTGCTGCGGTCTGTGCCGGATCCGGAAACGGCTGATGGCGTCGAGTAGAGCTAGCGACATCCGGCACACCTCCCGTGCGTGCATGATGCCGTTAGGTATGGGCAGGCCGGACACGACCATGTAAGCATCTCCGATCGTTTCAACCTGTGTCGGAGGGTTATAGTCACAACATTATAATAATAAGCTCACGAATAATACTAAATGCTATATACACACACACGCACGCACGCAGGCACGCACGCAGGCACGCACGCACGTACGCACACACACACGCACACACACACACACACAC